GGATTCCTGATCCGTCGACCTAGATGAGGCCAGCGACGAGGCAGGCTATCATCAAACCAGGGTTTTTTTGTTCTTTCCCGTTTTCTATTTCCTGGCAAGGCCTCGAATGTGAGGGCAGATAGGAAGATGTTGGCAAGGGCAATCGTGGAATAAATGAAAGTTATAAGGGACACTAATGGAACAAAAAAACTGACCACAATACTTGGAGGTAAGTCATTCAAAATGAGTGATTATATGAGAGCCCCCCAAAAGTAAATACAAGTATTCAAACTCTAATTGAAACAAAAAAAAAACGACTGAATCTTATGATTTCATGTATTGATTAAATACATCAATCGAAATCACATCCTCCAAACATGGCCTTAACTATCACTCATTTTGAGTGATAGTTTGTGTCACATCAAGCAAATATGCATGTATTGTTTGTGCAGAAAATTCAGAAAAGCGATGCATTGTGGACAATACATGTATTGTAACTATCCCAACCAAACAATCACCAAAACCAAATCACCCAATAATTTGATAACATATAAATCAACAACAAACATGAAAAAAATGGACTACCCGTAGGAATGTTGACAATTTTTCCATATATACGCTTTTGCCTTATATAAAGAGCATGTTTCCTTTTTGCTAATTTGGTCAATGGTTGATCAATTCTCTTTAACTCTTGCTTATGTGCATCAATTTCTGAAAAAGAAAAATGGTTAGTGGTAGTTTTGTAAGATCAAGCAGTGTGCAATAGTTAAGAGATTACAATCAATTTATGAGTCATATTCATACCATAAGAATATTTATTCTGCACTCCAGATAGAGACTGATTAGAATCCACCACACCTTCTGGTGGTATAAAAATAGCTCTCTTTTCCCTAAATAATGCATAGCATGGACACACATTAAATTTTAAAATGTATATAATTATGCCAATAAAAATATTTGTACTTGCATACTTTTTAAAGAATAAATTGAATGATTAGTTGGTTGTTTGGATGCACGTGAGTTATTTCTTCGAGACATAAAACTACACAAAAGTAGCAAACAAAAAATATTTAGAATAATATCAGCAAAAAAGTTGATAATGGCAGACTTCTAACATCAATGTGAAAACCTAATTATTTTTCTTCGCAAAACCAATATTTATGAGTAAAAAAATTCTAGAAGTATTTTCTATTACGCCTCCTGAATTCACTTCTCTATTCACAAATCTATTAATTTCTAGGTTAAATACACTTGTATATCCAAAACTTTCACGGTTGTGCCAATAATATCCAAATTTCCTGAAATACCACTTATATCCAATTCCTTCCCATTCTTTAACGGTGTTTTTGGATATACAAGTGTATTTAACCAAAAATATATTGGGAAATGGATAGATTTGGCAAATAACAACTTTAAAACATGGATATAAGTGGTATTCCGGGAAATTTGGATATTATTGGCACAACCGTGAAAGTTTTGGATATACAAGTGTATTAAACCTAATTTCTAAATGGAACCTACGTAGTTTATATATTCAAGCTTCTCTATTCTCAAATCTATTGATTTCTATATGGAACCCTATTAGCACTACGTAGTTGGTAATTTGGTATATTCCGATACACTTCGAACACAATGGATCTAGCTTTACCCTACCAATCAAAAGCAAGCATCCCTATTTAGGAAAAACCGGACAGTGGGGAAGAAAGCAACAATGGAAGGACAATATAATATTGAAAAACACAAAGCTTGTTAGTTAGGGATAGCAATTTCGACCTGCCCTGTTTTACCCGGTCTGTTTGACTTTTTTGTGGGGGTGGGGGGGGGGGGGATACCCGCCCTGTAAGTGGGGCGGGGTGAGCATGGATAGTGTTCTCTACCTGTTCTGTCCTAACTCGTCCCATTTTTTGACTCGTTCTTGCTTAAATCACATGTGATTTTACTCAAACTACTTAGCATTTTACTTATATTAGCTAATACTTTAGCTATAATAAAGTTGTAAATAGGTGAGAACCTCAATTTTACGAATAATTTAACTATATTAATCATGCTATAGTTCGTTTCTTGATTTTAAAGAAAAAATAAATATTTTCAACAATTTTACATTTAAATTACATACCCATTTGGGTCGTCCTACCCCCAGGGCGAAGCTACTTAGAGAGTAGGGTGGGCCTCGGCCCACCCGGGAATAGTCTCGGCCCCTAGGACCGTAAGAATATTTAGATAAAATTTGGATAAGTAGTGCTCGACCTATACATTATATCATATAATAATCATGTAATCTATAGGTAGCTAAGGCAAACTTTTATCCTAAAGCAAACATGTTTGATCCACAACAACCTCATTTTTGCTTAACTTCTTTTTGGACTTTATTATATTCTCTTCCACAAGGTCCTGGACCAAAGCAAACCGATACCCACTCCTTTTCATTCTTTTTGTTACTTTAATCCTACTACAAATGAAAAAATCAACCTCTATTTAGTTAACTTGGGATTTTTAGCACTTCATACAAACTATATGATCTTTTTTTTTATCCATGTCGGAATGAACAGAAAGATTAGTGTGAAAGGAATTTTATTTTGTTGATAGGTTGATTTGTCTTCTTCTAACTCTTCTAAATTTCTAAAGCTACATGTGATCGTGCATGTTTTCAGGTAGAAAGATAGTGAAGAATAGATTGCGAAACAAAATAAATGATGAGTTTCTTGTTAATTATTTAGTTATTTATATTGAAAGAAAGATAGCTAAAATTTTTAGTTCAGATGATATTTTGAGAGATTTCAATGATCTCAAAAAACGTTGTAGACTTTTAAAAAAAAATTATTTACATTTATCTATTTTTGGCCCACATCCCATGATAAATTATCTGATCTGAATTCGACCTACCAAGGAACGAATATGTGTATCAAGATACCCGCCCGGACTTGCCTTAATGCTATTCCTACTTGTATTCCTGTAATTATAATATTTAGAACAATATGTACATACGGTTCTGCATCCTTCATTGAACCGGCAAACGTAAAGGCTAGGGCCACTCTGTCGTCGTTTCTTTTTATGGCCATGTTATTTAAATTTGTATCTTAAGGCCCATCCAATCTCTGCGCATAAGCCAGGAAAATTGGAATTGGTGGGGTTTTCAAGCGGAACCTCCTTATAGTTATGGTCTGGATGGTAGATTGCAATATTTGATATTTTCTTATTGTGTTTTAATTATGAAAAATAAAAATTACGTTCGAAATGTGTTGTGAATGTCATCATTTTCAATGCAAGATGTAATTTTTAAAGGATAAAACTGGGGGAAAAATTCTAACATTTCAAAAATATTAGCTTTGTTTTTCAGATTAGAAAAGAATACATGTACTATGTATGCATAAAAATAAAATAAGGAGATAAATTTTAAAAAATACAAATATTATAATCGAAGAGATCAAATGACTCAAAGGAACGGTGAAAATGACAAAAGGATTTTATACCAAAACATAATGAAACTACTAATTTAAACTCACACAACAGTAACCATGTGGAGTGTTACATAGAATTGAATGGCTTGTACGTTAGATTATCCCGATTTGATCTCTTCATATTTGGTATGCGACAAACCTTTTGCAATATTTTGATGTTGGCAAAGGTAGGGAGACCCCCTTTCCTAATAGCTCTTCACATTAGCTATGGAAATACTATCAAACACTTATAGATAACACAGCCGCAAAGACAGCTTCCTTAGGGATGGGTTAGCATGCTAACCCTTTCAAGGATTGAAAAAATGACACCCCTATTAATTATAGTTATTTTTTGTATTAAATTCGTGTTGTATTTAATAATCTTTACGAATTAAAAACTCATCTTAATTACATTCCTTTTTTTTAACTACCATTGCACTGATACAATACAGCTACCATTGCACATGTATACTGCACTCATATTAATTACGTTCCTTTTTTGGAACTACCATTGCACATGTACACTAATACCATTGCACTGATACAACTATCAGTGCACTGAAAAAAGGAAAGTAATTAATATGTGTTTTTAATTCATACATATTATTAAATGCAACACAAATTAATTACCTTAAAAACCTATAATTGATAGGGGGTGTCATTTTCCCAACCCTTTTAGGGGTAAACATGCTATCTCATCCCGCTTCCTTACCACCCTCAATGCAAAGCAGTAGGTTTAACATACCTCTATTTTGCAAATGAGCTGCTGATTTTTATAATGAGTTGAGCATTTGCATTGAAAAGTGTTATAAGAGTGTTGGATGCATTTTACAATCTGTCATGTAACCCTTTGAAGTGTGAGGTTTTTCTTTGGGGGAGTTAGTGTAAATGACAGGAAGTTAGCCCTGTTTTGCTCAGGTTTCAACAAGGGGAAACTGCCTGTACTGTAAGATACCTAAGGCTTCCCCTGCAGTCTGGTACCCTCTCTAGTGCAGATGGTAATTGATAGGATTACCAGCAGAGTTAGATCTTGTAGAGCAAATAAACTCGCCTATGCAAGAAGACTCCAATTAGCTTTTACTGGCGGGCCGGTAGGTAACACAAAATTGGATGACAGTATATGTCCCGCCAAAAAGGTTATTCAACAAATCCAAAAAATGGAATAAAGTTTTTCGCCAAGGTTGAGCTATTAAAAATGAAATAACAATTACCGAAATTAATTTGATGTCGTTTCATTTAGAACACTAGTGTTGTCAATTGCTGAAATAATTATTTGCTTAAAATAAAAATAAAAAAACTCGAAAAACAGTTAAGATTTAGTTCTAAAATACGGCAAAAAATGGAAGAAAAAATAAAACTTTTCCAATAATAGAGTATTTTCCCCTTTCCCTAATTTCCCACCTCCCCAAAAATAAATGCGATCAGATCCATCGTCCGACGACGAAGAACCGACCAACGACGACCCTATGGCTTCCCTGAAACTCCGGCCGGTCAATTAAACCCGAATTCCAAGCCCAAATTCCTAACAGAACACCAGCCATCCGATAAACCTATAAATCCATTACCCAATTCTCCTCCCCACTTCGCCAATTCAGAAAGAAAAGAAAATCTGCAGGTGTTTCTCTATCTTTCAATCCCACGACTGCATTAGAGAATCTCTGCACATTTCCACCGCTCCCAAAAAACAATGGCAATCAATAAGGTAGTCGTCTTGGCTCTCTTCTTCGCTGCCCTCATCGGCGTCGCCTCCGCCGCCGCCCCGGCAGCCACCGACGCAGCCGCCGCCGCACCTGCTGCCTCCCCCGCCGGGGATGACGTCATCGGCACCACTGACGGATCGGCTTCCGCACCCACCGGCAACGGCGATGTCGCTCCCGGTCCTCTGGGAACCGGCCCCGACGCCGGCGCACCCGCCGCAGAGGCTCCCAAGAGTGATGCCAGCTCCGTCACCGTCTCTGCCGCCGCCGCTGGTGTCGCTGCTGTTGCTGGTTACTTCGTTATGTAAATTCAGCTGTCGCAAAATTAAACCCCCAGTGTTTCCGATTACGGTCGTATCTGGGAAAGTTTGATTATTACCTATTTTTTCATTTAATATTCTTCGGTTTGATTTTTGTTTTCTTTTGTAATTGTTACGTCGCGGGAAATTAACTGCGGCAAAGGAATTGTTTCTTTTTTTCTGAATCTATTAATGAAAGTTATATAAAAAACTCTTTTGTTTTCGTATTACCATCATTTTGTACAGTGCCAAATAATTTTCAATAGAGAATTGCCCTGAACTCGCGATAGAAATATTACAACAATTACTATATTTTTTTATTACCACAATTACTCTCGAAAAGTTATGCAGATTCAAAAAAAATCGCTACGATCGGATACCCGAGTGCAAAGGTACGTTCGTTTGAAGTTTCGGCCGAAGTTAGCAGTTGATCGGAAAAAAATGGACCGAACCCGCTAGGTGGGGTGGCGGCAGGCCCGGCCCAGGCCCTGTGCTGGTTAGACCCACAGCACATGGCCTCAAGTTTTGGGCGCCCATTATCCATAATCTATGTGTTTTGGAGGCCTGCTTGGGCTGGCAAGGTCTACACAAAAACTCTATGTACAAGGATGCAGGACGGGAATCGAACCATCAACCTCCTTCTAATTAAAAGGAGATTCAACCACTAAACTACATTGATTTGTTGAAGTTTAAATAACAATTAGAGTTTTTAACGCCTCTATTCTTCTCTTTCCCAAAAATTTCTCAACTTCCCAAAATCATCCAAAGCTTAAATATGAATTGTTCACACCCAATTCTGATTAAGTTCTCATCCCTACTATCCAGACTCTTAATCAACTTGTTTTAAGTTCTAATATTTATCCTTTTCTTTTGCAAAGAACTTATATGAAAATATGGAATCATTAATCTTTGGTTATAATTTATAATTATATCAATTCAAAAATTTGAAAAAGGTAGTTCTAAGCGTAGATAATATTTGATAATATATATAATATTATTAATTTGTAATAATTTTTTGAAGATATGTAATTTTTATTATTATCTAATAATTTTATCGTTAATAAATTTGTGAGTAAAAATTTGGGGCCACATTTAAATTTTCGAACAGGGCCTCCGAATATAATGGGACGGGCCTGGGTGGCGGTTTGGCCCAAAATCGCCGCCCCACACAGCGGTTTTCATAACCGCCCCGATGAAAATCGCGCCCTTACCAGCGATTTTCGTGTAAACCGCAGGATGGGGAGTGATTTTCGAAAAAGGTAGTATTTTTGGAATTTTTTGGGGTTTGGTGATATTTTTGTAATTTTTTTTAAAACAGTGCTATTCCTGGGAAAAAAAATCCAAGAAAATGAGGTGAGCTCTCAGCCCAAACCTCTTCACCATCCCATTCACACTCTACATGGGCCATGAGATGAGTTGGCTTGTTCTTCTCTCGGGCCACATAATTCCAGTCCACTCTATCCATCGCGCGGGCCTTGTCCTTAATCTCCCCACAAATGAGTCCAACTTCTGTCTCCCTATCCTCTTCTCTTCGCAATTGCTGAACCACTCCCAAGCAATCCGAAACAATCGCCATTTCCCTAACTCCCAACCTTCTTGCAAGCTCTAAGCCAAAAACAATTGCCATGGCTTCCACTTCCTCTGGGTTCCATTGGACCCTTGACCTCCTCACCGCCGTGAACCTAAAGCCCCCTTCTCCTTCTTGAACCACCGTTCCCCATCCCGTTCCTCGACCAGCCATAATTGAGTTTAAAATTTTAAATACAAGGAACAAGGCATAAGAAGACAATCAACTTCAACAGGTTAATTGAGTTCAAAAAAAAAATATTCATTGTGTTTAGAAGTGAAAACGCAACTCAACAAGTACCCACGGGTAGGGATGGCAATTTGGACCTGCCCCATTGGGTGTTACCCGATCTGACCCGCGTTGGGGCGGGTATTACCCGACCCGTAGTAGCGTGGGGTGGGGCATGGGTATCAACTTCCTACCCTCCTTGCCCCGCCCCATTCTTGACCCGTTCTAGGTCAATTTTTTATGCCATCCATGCATATATATCATAATTTAGCTTTTCTTCCAATAGTTAAACTTGATCTTTCAACTAAATAGACTCAATTACCCATTATATTATCACTATTCTTCATTCATGAAGTCTTTTTCCCTTGGTTTTATCGTAAAAATCAAAATTTTGTGTGTGTTATTTCGAATAGCATGTAAGAGTGGGTCGACCCGCCCCGTCCTCGCGCGGGTATTACTCGCCCAGACTCGTAGTAGCGTGGGGCGGGGGCATGGGTATTGAGATGCTCGCCCTGCCCCGACCCATTGCCATCACTACCCACGGGTGCATGGTTACCCATGGATTCATGAACATAACGAGACATTATTTTAACGAACACCCACATTGTAATGTTATAAAAAAAATTCTATAAATATGTCTCTATAAAGACTGTTAGCATCCATAAACTATTCATATTGTTAGATTTATATTGCATAAAGACTAATATCATCCGTAAATTATTCATATTGTTCCGGTATATATAAAATGATATTGTCTTGCTTTATGAGTATGGGTTGGATGGAAAGAGGGTTGAATTATGTCAAAAACCCAAACCCGACCCCAACCAATCAATTTTAAAAGTGGGGTAAAATCTGCACTGACCCAAAATCCATCAACGCTGAATATTTTTACCCGCTTCGATTTAGTTGGATCTGGTTGGTTGCCCATGGGTTCGGGTCCAATTGTCATCCCTTTATATGATGTCGCTTCAGTCTAGGGGGTGGGCAAACGGTTCGGTAAATCCGAACCGAACCCGAATTAAACCGAAACCGAATTAATGCTATTCGGTTCGGAATTCGGAAGGAAAATATGGATAGTTCGAAAACTAGGGTTCTTTCAACAGAACCAAATTTCCGACCGAAAAACCGAAATATTATAATTGCAAGCTCCAAATATGGATTTTTATGTTTGTAGTTGTTTTTAGACTTAAATATTTGAAATGTGTTATGACTTATGTGTTGAAAAGTTTGATTTTATCATTATGATGAATATAATTGATATTTATTGTTTATATTAGAGGTGAAAAATAATTTAAAAGTGAGAAAATACAAGTAGCTTCACAAAATCGGTTTTGTGTGAAAATTGAACCGAATTATAATTCGTATTAAACCGACCGAACCAAATTATAATTCGGTTCGAATTCGGTTTGAAATTTGGGAGAATTCGGGGACCCAGTATTCATAATTTCGGTTCGGTCGAAACTGAACCGACCGAATGCCCACCCCTACTTCAGTCTTTTCTCTTATGTGTGTCTCATTACAACATCGCTCCACTTTAGTGGTGTAGTGATAGGGCAAAAGCGTATAGCTTCAATTCCTATCTCGTAGTAAAACCGGAAAGTTCGGGTATCGTCTCTCAGGGACTGGTACAACCTTATATTCTATCAATTTTATAGAGGAAACTATAGGTGAAAAATGTTTTAGTGATGAAACTACTAGCTAATAATTAAACAAAACAAGCAAATTAAAGTTGTCGGGAGAAAATCAATGGGAGAAAGCTCTGGGAGAAACACCGGGACTCGCTACCTATCCTATCCAAATTAATTCACATATTCCAATCAATTTAATCCAACTCTCTACAGCCAGGATATCACGACTGTGCTAGCTATCCCTGTCGGGAATTACTACGTACTAAACAATTAAATCAAATTCTACTGTCGTAGCTCAATGACTTAATTATTTAGCCTGAAGATCGATATCCTATTTAAGACCGCATAGCACCTTATTTAATCCACTGTCGCTTCGATAAGTTACTATGTCACATGAAATATGTTCAGTTATTAGGGTTTCACTGTCGCTAATAACCTAATTAACAACAAATCAATGTATTGGTGGCCAGTCAACACAAAGCATTAATTAATTTCATGCAATAGAGATTGAAAGAAAAGAAATACGAATTAATCCATCAAATCCAGAAATAGCTACATCCTATGGTGTTTCCCCCAGAAATTGGGGTTTAGTTCATGATGAAACTGAGATAAATCGATAAAGTTTTGATCATCATATTCTAAATCAACAATAAACAACTAATTTGGTTCAGAAAATCCAACCAAATAATCGCTCTTGTTGAACTCAGCTCAAGCCGTCTAGAAAAGCCGATCGCCACTTTTCCTGTGCCGCGCCCTTTCTTCCTTCCCAAAAGAGATTCGTTCCCCAGAGAATTCTTGTTCCCCTCTTCCACAAAAGCAATCCCTCCTTTAATTCTTGCGTCCCCCAAATAATAGCCACCCTTGGAATTTTTGTTCCCTGGCAAAATAATAGCCGCCTCCAGCAATTCTCTCTGGCCCAACAATTCCCTTCCTCCCTTCGTTTTCATCAAGGCCGCCAGCCTTGAGTCTAATTCAATTGGGCCTTCCGCCCAACCCTCCAGCATCCTCCCACAATACCACTTCCGGCCCATTTAGGCCCACTGCTCCTCCTAGCCCAAATGAGTATTCCACCAGTGATTCGAGCCCCGATCGATTTTTTCGTGCTTTCTCCACCTGTGATATATCAAACTCATGGCACTAGGCAGTAATGGTTTTTCAACCATTCCTGGATTAGCGAGCCCGAAAATAGCACCAATTGTCTTAAATATATCATGGGATAGTCACATAAAGTTCAAGAATCCGATATAATAAAGCCAATTATCACAACCCCACAATCAATTGTTGCTTGTCCCTAAGCAACTACTCAAAAGATACACAAACCTAACAATCTATAACAATGACAGACCACAGACTCACTAATCAAACACTCAAACAAAACAAAATTTTCCTTGTACTCTTGTTGTACTCAGTAGTTTATTTCTCCAAGGACAAGTTGTGCTTTAATGATCATACCTTTCACCCCACTTTGCAACCCATAACCATTTACTGACTCAAATCCATCAAAAACTCAAATAGCAACACTCAATTCCGATCGTCAGTCGTGGGTTATTAACAACTTCTGGTGTAACAGTTATTAGGAGAGTCTGACCACATCAATGAGGTGCATATCTCGTGAGGACAATCTGGCTTACTCACACCAATCATAAGCAATTAACAAAGCATGAGTCTCAAAAACTAATGGGGGAAGCCTTTCGCAAACATGATTTTAAATTTAAGCACATCACTACCTTTTATGACAAGGAGAGGCTTTATCTCTTCTGATTTTGCTTGCCGAGTGGTCGTATTTAGTACAAGTGGGATTTGTTTCTTACTACCGTTGACCGAGCAAGAGCAATTTCTGCTTCTTAGCACTCGCATA